GTGTGTGTGTGTGTGTGTGTGTGTGTGTGTGAATATGATTATTGATTTGTGTGTTGTTGATGTCTAGTTTTTCATTAAGGTACTTCTCTTCAAAGAATCATTCTTCACAACAATCATACATAAAATTATTTTATGATGATGACTTACAACTACAACAACAACTACAACAACAACTACTACAACTACTACAACTACAACATAAAAACGAAGAAGAAGAGAGAAAAAGAAGAAAAAGATACAGATAATTATAAATATGATAATGTAGATGATGACGATGATTAAGATGATAATGTCATGACGGACGATGCATTAGTTTGGTTGAATTTTCTGTCTTCATTAGCGCCAATCTTTATTGCAGGTCTTGAATCTTTAGAAAACTATGTCGCATTTTTTAGAGTATTTCTTGCATTATTAATTTTGCCATTTAGGTCATTGCTATGCCATCTGATGCAGATTTGCATTCATGTCATGTGTTAATGTATCAATTTTTAATATTCAAATTTATGAAAAAAATGCAGTTGGGATCATTTTGTAGTTTATTGTTTCGTTGTTTTTATTGGGCGACGAGATGGTAAAATTGTTAGAGCGCTTGGTCCTGGTGTTGCAGTGGCCGGGTTCGATCACATGCAATGTTTCTGATGCTTGGATTCATTTGTGTTGACAAGTTCATTGCTATATATATATATATATATACCATAAGTATGCAGCATATAGGATGAAACGTTAATAGCGTTAAAAAGCCGGGACAAATGAAATAAAAGGTATGAAACATGACAGCAAACGCAACTGAGTTGTGAACATTCACTGAATGTCATTTTTGCCTCTGTTCACGTGCGTCTCTACATCATCGTCACCATATTTGGCATTAAAATCAATCATCGTCATCGTCGTCACATCATTGTCCTTTCTTCATCACTAATGCACGCCGTCATTGTTATTAATACTCCCTACATACTTATTCACTCATTCACTCTCTATCACAAACACAGCCAGACACACACACACACACACACACATACACACATACACACAAACAAACACAAACACAGCCAAACACACAAGTATGCACACACACAAAAAAACATACATAGCAATACATAGGCAAACACCCACACATAAACATACATACATACAAACAAACAAATGTACACACAGACACGTACATATACACGCAATGACACAATCACACACACACAAACACGCTCTGTACCGACATTAAAAGCGAATTTGTGTTACTCGGATGCTGTTCATTTGTCAGCAGTGGAAGCAGTTTAAAAGGAAACTTCCATCCATTTATTCTTTCATTCGTTTTTTATTCATTCTTCTGTCCGTCTGTCAATCCGTTTATTTATTTATCTACTTATTCATCCTTTAATCTATCTATCCATCAATCTATCTATCCATTTAACTATCTGCCGATCTTTCAATCTATCCATCCATCGTCCATCCATCCACTCATCCATCAATCTTTATTTTTTATTTTTCCTATCCATTTTTTATTCAATAATCTATTTATTCAAGCATCCATCCATTCATTATCATTCATTTACCGGTTGCCATTCATCATGTCTATTTATTTATTGCTTGTTACCCTGTTAAACAAAATTTTTTTGAGCATATCAATTTTTTTATTTTTTTTTAAATTGTATTCTATTCACTCATTCAATCATTCACTCATTCACACACTAACTCATTCATTCATTTATTCGTTCATTCATTCATTTATTATTCTAACAATTTTCATCAGTTTTTCCATTTATTATAACGCGAATAACCTAAACTGTATGCTTTTTCTATACATGTTTGAGTATGTTCTTCAAAAATTGTATGTATAATCGTGTATATGTTGAATGTACTAAGTGTATATTGGATGATAAGTTGTTGATTGCTGACTACCTGCTACAATATCATTCAATACAATCAACTTCCAACTATAACATATACATACATACATTCAGTTTGTCGCCTGGGTGGGGGCCGTCAACTACGTCACTCAGCATTAAACGACTACATTTGTCGGCTCTTCTCCAAGGCTTCAATCCCGGTTCTCAAGGAACCATCCAGCATTTCTGCGCATGATGGTAGGCGCCCGGACGGATGCACGTTAATACCTTGGAGAGCCGGTAGATGTTTGGCGTGGGATGTTACGGTCCCTGGCATCCTTGCCGAACGATATGTAAACCTGACAAGTAAAGAATGCGGTTTGGCCGCGGCCAGGGCAGCGGACGAGAAAATGAAAAAATATGGGAACGCACTCCCTCGATGGAATTCTTGCCAATATGTATCGAGGTTCTCGGCCCGATGGACCCCAACACCCTTAAATTTTTAAGGCAATATGTAAAATGATCAGCGTCAGATCAGGCGACAGCATGGAACTGTTTTTCGCAACTAACCACATTTCGTGCTTGTTGCAGCGGTTCCTGCGTGTCTGTGTGCTTGAAAATATCCAACTGAATGCCGACATGTGCAATTAACGACAAATCAAAGTGTTAATCCATTTGTTACTTGATGTTTGACGGTTCAGTGTCACTCATCATGTTTTGGTTTTAACATTCATAACTATACACACAGATACATACTCACATTCACAAACATGCACATCTACAAACATACACACACGTACACACAGACGCACGCGTATGGACATAAACACACTCGTATTTATTTGTATGTTTGCATTTTTATATTGCGATATAAACCTAAAAGGCAAAAATCTACAAGAGTGCATTTACAAAATGAGGTCTGACGAAAAACAATTAGAAAAAAAATTCAACAACAAAGAACAACAACGTCAATAACAACAATGACAAAAATAGCAATAAGAACAACAACAACTTCCTCAATACAAAAAAAAATATCTGAAGTTGAATAACCGACATGTAGTAAACAAAAGCAACGTCATCTTCATCTTGAATAGCAGCTGCAAATCCCAAAACATCAGCATCATCAATGGCAAACAACAACATCAACAAAAACATTAACAAACAAACAATGGCATTAACATTATGATTTTAAGCAATGTCAACAACAACAAACAATTGTATTAATACAACGTCAACATTACGAACACTAACATAAACAACGAACAAATGGCGTGAACAATTACAACTAATAGTTAACAACAATGACATCAATAACATCAATTTATTCAAAAATGCATCAACATTTACACAATAATGACAACAACAACAACAACAAACAACAACAACAACAAACAACAACAAACAACAATAACACCATCAACGGTAACAACAACAGCAACAACAGTAACATCAACAACAATAACATAATGCGTCACGTGACTACTACTTTTCATGCTCATGATTGGTCAAACGAGTTTTGACGTCGCGTGGATTTATTTAATATTTTATTCCGATAATTTTAGAATTTGTTTTTAAAAGAAATATTTATTATTATTAGTTTTTTATTGCTATTATTTGTTGTTATTGTTGTTGTTATTGTTGTTGTTGTTGTTGTTGTTGTTTGAGTGCTAATGACAATATTAGTGGTAAGGTTTGTTTGGTTAAAGTTTTTTCTCAAAAATTATTTTTGCTGTCTTTGTTGTTGCGGTTAAAATATTTAAAAGTGTGTTGTTGTTAGATTGTGATTGGTGTTGATTGGTTGGGACTGATGACGTCACTGCCACTGATGTTGTTGTTGTTAATGTTGTTGTTGTTTCTGCTGATGTTGACGTTGTTTTGTTGTTGTTGTATTAGTAGTTGTTGATATATCTAGTATATAATAATAAAATGATAAAAATTAATATTCCCTGTGAACGCATCAATACACTTTCTTCCAATTCATATGGAATGAATGACTTGTTGGTTGCAATCTATTTTTAAACCAGCACATGAAAGTCAGTATAAAAACATGTATTCATGTTGCATTTTACATTATAGCGCGAGTGGAAAGAAATGTATAATTTTGTCTTAAACGGATCCATTCAATGGATCGTGTCATATGTTACAATGGATCGTAACATGTGTTACAATAGATCGTAACATGTGTTACAATGGATCGTATCATATGTTACAATGGATCGTAACATGTGTTACAATGGATCGTAACATGTGCTACAATCATACAAGCTCTATGTCTTCATCTGTCTTTTTTTGTTTTGATTTTTTCATTTTTCCAGATCCGTTTTTACCAACTCGTAAAAATTCAGTTTTTGAGGTTTTTTTTCTCTTCCATAATCAAAAAAACATTTTTTGTTTTAGAAAAGAAATTTTTTTCAGTTTTGCGTATAAAAGAAGTTACGCGTCATTTTGTTGGTCTGATGTTGATGTTGTTGATGTTATTGTTGATGTTGTTGTTGTTGATGATGTTGTTGCTGCAGTTTGTATTTTCAGGTTGGTGTCACTGCTGATGTGTTATTGTTGTTCATGATTTTGTAACGTGTTTTTTTTGCTGGCTATGT